TACTGGCCTGGTTTTGCAAGATCTGTCACAATGGATTTCATCACCGTATAGATGACAGTTTTGAATGGCATTTGGTATTTATTCCTCTCCGTTTAACAATCTCCATCTGGACACACATATAAACTGTGAGAGTGATGTATCTGAAAAGGAATATACTTCTGAGATGGTTGTACTTTCCAAATAGAATAGTTATTTTTTTTAACAAATAGAGGAACTTTTTAAAAATGCTTCATTGGGGAAATTTATATGAGGTAGAATATTAGGCAAAAAAGTTTCTTGTGGACTTTTTATTAACAGCCATGCCATTAGCTAAAGTTTCATAGTATAGGTTTAGGAAAACAAGCAAGTGTTTAATTGTTTTTTAATGGACATTTTAAAAAAATCAGTGTAATAATGGATGGGAATTCTTCCCATTTAACATTGGTAGTAGAGTAGATTGCATTTCTGTCCATCTATATTCCTAAAAGGACAAGGAATCACTGGTCAGTTCAAAAAAAGAAATGGCAGCAATTCATATAATTGAGAACATATGTAATGTAGGGCAACAGAGATAGGAAATAACTAGAGGAAAGGGACTACCCATCAGATACAGATAGTCCTCAAGTTATGACCACAATTGAGGCCAAAATTTATGTTGCTAAGTGAAACATTTGTTAAGTGAGTTTTGCCCCATTTTATGAATTTTTCTTTGCCACAAACTTAATTTGTTAAGTTAGTAACATGGTCGTTAAGTGAATCTGGTTTCCCCATTGACTTTGCTTGTCAGAAGGTGACAAAAGGGGATCACATAAACCCGGGACATGGCGACCGCCATATATATGAACCAATTGCCAGGCATCTGAATTTTGATCATGTGACCATGGAGATACTGCAACAGTCATAAGTGTGAAAAACGGTCAAAAGTCACTTTTTTCAGTGCTGTTGTAACTTTGAACGGTCACTAAATGAACTGTTGAAAGTCAAGGATTATCTGTAATTGGCAACCCCGTTTTTATTTAATTCTCCAGTTAGGGAGAATTACATGAGCTTCTAATGGATTTCTAATGGATTCAATTATTTTTTTACAGTAAGCAGATCGTATCTGTAGAAAAACACACATATACCAACTGATATACATTTTAGGTTTTGAGAGTAAGTTTGTCTAATTATTTTTACTTAAAACATTTATATAACCAACTAAAGTCACATTGTTTGAATTGGATAACCATACAAAGGTTTTAAATAAATAAAAATATAATCTCCAATTTGTCCCTGTTGCACAGCTTCTGTATATACAGGTAATCCTTGACTTATGACCATTTGTTTAGCAACCAGGACACCTCACAATCCCTGAGACACCCCATGCTCTGCACATAATGACTGTAGTGGGGAGAGCCGGGATTGCATGGGGTGCCTTGTTCAACGACAGGAACAACTTAATGACTGTAATTCAGGACTCAGTTGCAGTTATAAGTCAAGGACTACCTGTATTAGAGAAGCTTCTTTGGACTTATCAAGGGAGGCACTTCCCATACACCAATCTGTTCTTTCTAGGTTGCAGACATACACATTCAGTCATAGTTGCTATGGACTCAAGCAGATAACAGTAGACAAGATTGTAAATCAAGGTCTGCGCAAAGGGAGCTTGCCTGAATAAATCTGATTGAAGTCTAGGATGCCATAGAGTGATCCAATTTTGTTCCAGAAGTTAGAGCAACAAGTTGAATTGTCTGCCAATCCAATAGTCAATGGTTCATGAACACAGGAACAAGAATCACAAACTGGAATTTCCAATACATAAATCTGCCTGCACACAGCTGGCTGCAATTATTCAGGCTGTGCCCTTTGCCTAATGAGAAGCCTCATTGACTGGCATTGCTCTGCTTGCCACTGCATGTATCAAAGTCTGATGCTGATGTTCCTCATCATCTGACTGCTCCAGCTGATTAGGAGATGCCTATGAGTGCTTGGCCTTCTCTGATGAATCGTGGCTTGAAAATTCCTGAGGTGACTATCCACAGACTGAGCTGAAGCAACATTGTCAGTATCAGAGTTTAAAACTGAATCCTGGCCCCCGACACACACCCATTGGAGAATGGAATACAGGCTTTTTTCTAACTGGAAGATCTCACGGAGATGTCCGTTTCCTGTACCTATCATCTGGAAAGCAGTACTGGTCCAAACCATCACATTCCCAAGACTCAGAATTCAGATTACTCCCCAAGACCATTATAGAGCTGAACTGGAAATGGCCATTGGGAACAAGCCAGATGTGTTGGGCTGTTGAATCTGAGAAAGGCATTCTCTTCAGAAATAATTCTACAATTATTGCTGTGAGAAACAGGCCTAACAAGATCTCAATCACTGCTCACAACAGCAATAACACATTCCTTCTTCCTGCTTATTTTTGGACTCCATCCTTTTCTTTCTACTCATCCATCTTGCCTCTGTCCAGATAATCAGTCCACAAAAGCTAACCAGAAAACTCTGGGTGTGATTATATTGGCTGGAGGAAAGGCTGAAATGCAAAGGGTCTGTAGATAGCTCTACTGAAGGATAAGCAGTGATGGATAGAAAAACAGTCATGTGAGAACATACAATTGTCTGTATGTCATGTGAGATGCTATCAAAGCTGCTCAAAATGCATCTATGGTTCAGTTTCTTCCTGATAATATCCCCTTCAAATCTGAATCACCATCATAAAATTCCAAAATTTAAATAACATAAATCCANAAAAAAAAAAACCCTTATTCCACAATGATCTAAGAAATCACAAAAAATGTCTTTCTCAGGTTCTACAAAATGTACCCAAATATCAAAGATACAGCAAAGATCTAGCAAAGGAAATAAAGTATATTTGGTTCCTATAAAGTGATCATGATTTTCAGACTGGAATTCTAATTAACAATTAAACTCAATCTCACCCAATTTGAACCATAAATGTAAAAATGTCAAAGCTTTATCTCTAAAGCATGTATTTCTACTACATTAGCCCACATGCTAACAATATTGTGGTCATAGTTTCTCTAGCAAAATAATTTCTGTTTTGTCAACCTGCAAACATCTGCAGTAGCCGGTGGAAAAAACTTAACCTGAAGACTTGGGCACAGGATTAGGTAAGGTATTTATTAACGAGGTGCAGCTGCAAAATATGCAAACAGAATCAGATGTCCTTATTGTTTAAGTCTAAAAAGGTAGGCTCTTTTACATTCCCAATGCATTATTTCAGCTGATATGCTGATATTCTTGATTGAAACAGGTGTAGCTTTTTAACAAAGCAAAAGGTGGAGGGTATCTTAGGATGCATAAGAAATTGAATGTGGTAGATTCCAATCTAAACTGAAAAGGAGGAAGAGCAACAGACAGCATCCAAAAAGACTGAAATTTAGACTCTGCTAAATCCAATCATTAATTAATCTCATCCAAAACTGAGTTATCCAGGAGATTTTGCTCTTCCAAATTCTGCATCAGAGTTAAAACAATTGTAATGAGTGAAAACAGACTAAAGAGTGTACTGAAAAACATGAATGAAAACTGTGGAACAGAACAAACTAATCTATACATCAATACACCATAAACTACCTGTGAATAGAGAACTGGTATACAAAGTTGATACCAATATAAGCAAAGTGTTTGTAGGGATCTTTATGCATTCATAAATTTATGTGGAACAGGAATACGGGAAACACTGAAAAATTGCATCAAATAATATTTGGCTAAGAGTTACAGTTTCTTAGAATAAGAGTTATTTACTAGGAGGAAAATAAAATAGGCTACTGATTTGATATTTCATTAAGCTTGTTGATCTCGAATGTGAGTTTGAACAATGCCTTTGTCTTATTTTCTTCTACTATTGCTTTGATCTAAACAATGTTATATAATAGCAATAGCATATATACCGCTTCACAGTGCTTTACAGTTCTCTCTAAGCGGTTTGCAGAGTCAGCATATTGCCCCCAACAATTTTATCGGTCCTCATTTTTCCGACCTCGGAAGGATGGAAGGCTGAGTCAACCTTGAGCAGTGAAATTATATAATAAACGTGTTCACAAGACAAACTGAAAACCCAGGGCTTTTTTTGTCATAGAACACCCAGAACAGAGTTCCGGCACCTTTTTGGGATGGAACCTTGTAGGGTAGGCAAGGTGGGTTGTATGACATGTGTGAGTTACGGCTCCTTTTTTTTTTTTTTTTTTTTTTTTACAAAAAAAGCACTGTGAAAACCAGTTTAGTGAAGTATGTTGGGTAAACCCATATTTTAGCCTAGTATATTGCACAACAAAGTCTATCTGTCTACTTAATTTATGCTTTAGTGTATCACTTTACAGAACTGGGCAAATTGAGCAAAGCATGATCAGGCCAACATCAATGTATCATATGAACATACTCAAGACAATGCTACCAACTTTTATATTAGGTGATACTGGTTTCTTGACTATATGCTTTTTCCCAGGTTTTGACCAAAATGCACCAAAATAAGTGCATTAAGCCTCGTAAGCTGTCCTAAAGTTGTCCACAGGTGGCAAAATATTTTAACCTACACGAAAGTGTTTTAAGTTACTACCTATGGAAGCCTTTGATTGCTGAAGATTGAAAAGGACATTTCTGTAAAAGGACATTTTAGTGGAGATGCGATTTCTATAATACTTATGATTTAATAAATAGAGGTATTCCTTTGCAGCTGACATTTTAAGGATGGAGAATTTTAAAATGTTACTGCTCGGGTCTTATTTATTAAGAGAAAAATATTTATTTGATTCAAAGGTCTAAAAGGAAAAATTTAAACCATTCTGAAATACTTTTTTTAAAAAAGAAAGAAACGTAGCTGCTCCTCTGTTCTTCAGTTGATGCAAATCCTACAACAGTTGCTGTGTAACCATGCTAGATTTAGTTCAAAATACTTCTGTTAGCACAGGGTTTTTTCATTACTCTACAACGTAGGAAACAATTTGGTTGAAATGTATGCAAATACACAACATATGCTTTAGCAGGATAATCAGTATAGTGAAACATAAACACACCTGCTAATGTTTGATCCACCAAATTGGTTGCCATGAATGTCACAGCTGGTGATGAGATAGCCGCTACCCTGGTGACTTGAGCTGGCATCCTTGGAGTCATGCAAGTCTCGAGTCTAGAAGCAATACCTGCATACAAAAGAGGACAGAAACATTTGAATTTTTCACTAGGTAAAAAGTGCAAAGATCCTGGGACTGAATTTGTTATCATAAATGTGAGAGGTAATTGGAAACTAAATATTAACTATTTAGTAGTGGTAAATTTTAATTTAATGTGCAATTATAACTTAGTGCAGAACAGGAAAACCAAAAGACTATATACAACCTGCAATAAAACAATATAATACTCAATGCAAGACATTTGCTAATGCAATATAATTAACAGTGCACAACCAAAATATAAATCTCTGGTGAATAATGAGAAAGAAGGTTCTTCTAGTTTCATAAAGGTTTTGCATAAAGAAGCATTTTAACTTGATTTCTTTAAAACAAACAAAGTTCAAGGGAGAATTGATTCCAGAAAGTTAAGTGGGAAAAGCCATAAACTATAAGGGGCCATTTTTATACAAGGAAAAACTTATCACACAATGAAGCTGAACACACAGGTAAAGTGAATCGGAGTCAGGTTGTTCAAATAGGCTGGTTGTTCTTGTATGCATGACCTGAAAAGTCAGCATTTAAATGCATATAGCTTCTAAAGATACAGCCAAAATTGAGGTAGAAGAAAGAAAGAAAGAAAGAAAGAAAGAAAGAAAGAAAGAAAGAAAGAAAGAAAGAAAGAAAGAAAGAAAGAAAGAAAGAAAGAAAGAAAGAAAGAAAGAAAGAAAGAGGAGCATAACCAGAGAAATCTAGGAGCAGAGTCTTCTGGATATGAACCAATGCAAGGACATCAGAGTTAGAAAAGCGTACAGATCAATTATTAGCATAATCCAGGTATGACACCTTCAGATATGAACTAATGTTCTACCTGTTTTTGAAATAAACAAGATATGAATGAATTCAATTCAATATATATCGATGAAAGACTATTAGCAAAGTATGAGCTGATAGATATGTTGGTCAAGATTTGGAGATGTGAAGGATACTTCTTACAGAGAATAAATGTATAATAAAATAGGTTATGTTTCTTTAAATAAATAGCTAAATATGGTTTGCAAAACACGTTGTTACCACAAGAAGGGAAGTCCCTAACAACCTCTAGGCAAATGCATAAGATCTTCTAACTTAGCAATTTCTGGACAAATTTATAATGCAGTTTTCAAGGTTTTCTATATAAATATTTATACAAATCTTTTCCCCCCGTAAGATTTGCTACTACATTCACTGCATCATTGCAAGCAAGAGATTCAGAGAATAATCTAAACAGATTATTAAGCATAATCCTTGCTTGCTTGATTTTACCATCCATAAAAGGCAAGTAGCAGTCATGGGATTGGGACTTGGACTTGGCTACATACAAGGAATGTTTTAATATCCTTTTCCTCCCCGGATGACAATCCTAAGAAAATCTAACAAAAATTACACTGTAACCAATCAAGTCCATACATTTTTTATACAATATATCTAATTTAACTCAAAAATAATCATTTCACTGATCTGAAGAGGGAAACAAGTAGGGTCTTTAAAATTTCATTAAAATTGCTAGACTCATGGAGCTGGACCAGCCTTCATTTAATATGTATTTTCATTAACACCTGTTACGTTTTGAAATTGACATCGGTACTTTTGCTTGTTCATTGCAGCTCCAATTTAAAAAAAAAACAGACTAAGAAAACCGCTCTGAAAAGAATCCAACAAACACCTGAATATTGTACAGGTGTTTAATCTAGATACCTTAGAAAAAAACATAGCTGGATTATATATGAATGCTTACCACATCCTTAGCAATGTTGTTCTTTGCATCTGCAGCTTACTTCCCTTGTACAGACAAGCACATGGCAGATTATGTCATAGGGTGGGCATCTCAACAAGTCCCTTTCAACGTTTGGTCACACTCTGCATAAGTTCCATTCAGAATGCAGATGAAGTAAGCTGGCTTTTGAAAGGGAACCTCCAGGACCTTCTGCTCCATCCTTTTCCTTTATCTTAGGTAAACATAAGGATGTGCCAGACTTCCTGTTTCTGATTTGCTTTTCAAGCCTTTGCATACCCGCAGAAAGACTCTAGCTCGTGTACTTTCTGCTTTTCTAATCAACACTCTCTGCATGCACATTTTTCATTTACTCCTTGAAAAAGCCACTGTGACAAAAGCCAGCAAAATACACTTAGGCTACTTTTGTTAGCTGTGTTTCCCCCTGCCCCCCCCCCACCAATCATCATTATGTAGAACTAACATCAGTCTGCACATGATTTCCACTGTAATGTGCTGGTATTTTTCCCTCTTCTCTCCTTCTCCTTCTTAAAAAAAGAGGGAGATAACTTCCTTTTTCCCCCTGAAACATTTGAGAAATTTGTGCACATCAACCACAATATCTTTGGGGGGGAAAAAATCAAATGAGAAGATCATCTTGGTAACCCCTCTATAGATTAATGGCTGCCTTACTCTCTAATGTGAAAATACAGTCCAGGAATATAAAGGATGGATTGCCTATTATTTTCATTTTTTCTCCAAATTCTCATTTGGTGAAACACAAATTAGATTTGTATCCTGTCTTTTCTTCAGGGACTCTTGGTAGTATGATATGGTACTCCCCCCCCCACTTATTTTTGCTCACAATGTGCAATGTAGATTAGGATCAAGATAATGTTCTGCCAAGGATAATCCAGTAAAGTTAAACTGTCAAGGGTGAGAGTAGACTTCTAACTGAGCCTCCCTAGTGCTATTCCAAGTCCATATTTTGGACAGAGAGGATCGCTGGTTTGAAAGAGGGGTCAAAGAGGCCATCTATGTCACAATTGAACAGCCTTCTTTCAGCAGAGGGGGAGGGATATGACATCATCTATTTCCAGTCTACAACACAGTCCTTTCAGCAATTCCAAGAAAGCTCCACACCCATTTGCACTACTCAGGTCATCCTGAGGACACAGATAAACTTCCAAGTGGCTTCCAGGACTCTCTAAAAGAATGCAAATGATCAGCTGCCTGCAAGGAATATAAATCCTTCTGGTCCCCATCATCCAGTCAGAACTGAAGAAGCTACTTGGATGAAAAGTGAAATGTCTTCAAAGAAAAACAAGAAAGTCCAGTTGCCTCTTGAAAAAGAACCCTTGGAACATGATCCCAAACAGTTGGGTGAGCTCAAACAGCAGGAAAGATTTCCAACTCACGAGGAAGCTGCGTAAAAGTGCAAATGTCAATGTTTCTATTTACATTCATAGTAGAGATTAAGCAGGCAAGAATGGGAAATGCACATTGAAAGAAATGTGCTAGCAAATGTGCTAGAAAAACAAGAAAGTCCTGCTGTCTCGTGAAAAAGCACCTTTGGGATAACTATGACCTTGATGACTGAGAATCTCCATAGACCCTAGTGTTATTGTTAGTCTAATACCATAACCGCATTAGTTTTCATTAATAAAGTAATAATTACTTCATTTATTAGTTATTTAATTAAATAGTTGACCAAAAATGTGTATTCCTAGATATCTTTGTATGTAGTTCATCATATTTTTTCATTATTGTTTGTATTTTTCCACAGCCCAAGTAGAGATATTCACTGTAAAATATAGAGTTGGGAATACATTTCTCTAGTAGTATGTTTTGTACCTATTTATTTACATTTGGTACGATGCACTAATTTGCCAAAATTTGAAAATTCTAAATTTTCTAGTATTCAAGAGGGATTTTTTTCAGTTTCCCTACATATTCTTATGTAATATATTTATCATCATTTCCTAGAGGCAAACCAGAGTAGGTCAAATCCTAACTATAGTCCCTAGCAATAGGTTGTTTTTGTACCAGCAAGTGATATACCTCTCCTTGATTGCAGTTCCAGTCCTGTGTCATTAAGATTAACATGTTTCTGAACATTTTCCTGTTGTGGAGAGGAGAGGAGAGGGGAGGGGAGAAGAGAGGAGAGTAGTTGGTTTTCATGGGCCTTTTGTTCATTTATGATAAAGTGAACCACTATTGTCTTTAGAAGAACGATTCCAATTGGTTTTGAAGCCAGCAACTGGAGTAAAACTTCTCGTTTTATTAGGCCAGGGGTCCCCAACTCCCGATCCATGGACCGGTACCGGGCCACAGCATGCCAGCAATCGGTCCGCACAAACAAGCAAAGCCCCATCTGTGGGACGCAGGCAGCATAGAAAACCATGCACTTTCTGGTCCGTGGAAAAACCTTTCTCCACAGAACCGGTCCCTGGTGCCCAAAAGGTTGGGGACTTCTGTATTAGGCTAATATATGCAATCGTCCAGTTTTAATACTACACATTGTGCAAGTTGTTGTGTTCTTAGAAAGGGGAGCATTACTTCTATTTAAGAGATCTCTATGCTCCTACCATAGGATAAGAATCAGGAGAGTAATATACTTCATCTTAATTTCTGAATATCAAGATACAGAAACAGAAAGTGAAATGGGAGAGCTCGCAAGACAGCCCTTTCTGAATTCAGCATCTGGGTCATCACAAAGAGAGAAAAAGAGAGAAAATCCCTTCTGTCAACTTTCCTTAAGCTGATGGGATTTGATACTGTACTTCAGCATTATTTGTTTTTGCACAGTTAAGTGCAGCACTTATTGTTATTTCTCACATTTTAAGCCATTTCTTTTTACATGATAAGATAGGAACACAATTCAGGTGATCAATCAATACTATGTCTGGATTCAGATGTTCAAAAAAACAAAACCCAATAGAATGAGAGCAAGAGCTTAATCCCACTTAAAAGACTTGGATGCTATAGACAAAATTTTACTTTCACCCTAAACCAAAAATTAAGTCTGTTCTGTCTGAAGCAGTCTGCTTAATTGATATAATTTACATGCTTTCCATCTATTTATGTCATATGTCAACAATGTCAAGTCAATCAAGTCAAAACAGCAATTACATAATTATGCAAATGGAATGTACTCTATAAAATGTATGAATTCAGATGAAATGGAGATTTGGATTTGATGGACATTCCTCCTAATCGTCCATTAAAGAGGTGGCCCTCATCACTCTTGGTTTCATCACTCTTGGTTTCATCTATTAGCTGTTGGTAAATATGGAGCAGACCTTTTTATATATAGAAAAAGCTTTTATGTATCCATGTTTTTTTTGTTTGGGGGGTGGGTTTTTTGCACAGTTCTGCTAGAAGAATGACATTTTGCAGTGTTTTCTGTGTATGGAGAATGGGCTTTGATGCATGTAGAAAAAATATTTTTTCAGAAATTTTCTTTTAATAAATTGTTATCCACAGCTCACATAATAATGAGGGGGAATAAGAAGTATACTATTTTAATGCTATTTCGCACTTAAAAATGTTTTCATCTTTTGTAACAGTCAAAATGGAAAAAATATAAAGCTCACAAAAGCTACGAAGATGAAGGAAGGAAAACAAAGAGATTATTGATAAAAGCTAGGAAGCTATAAAAGAATCTGTAATCACTCTGTGATTGAGGTGATGGAGACTTATATGAAAAGAAGCAGATGCCTAAGAGAGGATGTATGTTTATAGGCAATTTAACAGGATACATCTATGATTCTATTATAGCAGAGGCATTGTGCTGCTTAAATCTGTATTTTTCTGAGAGTGTTATGTGTCCAAGTAACAAACTAGAAAGCAAGCATCAAGAATAACAAAAAGATTGTGAACCATTATTTTCACTATCATTGTCATTAGCATTTTCACCAAAATAAATCCTATTGCCCACTCTTACCATGTTACACGCTTACCATGTTACAAGAATACTTGAGTTTAACACAGACATACATGCAAAATAAATATTATTAGGCAATCAGAAAAAAAACATGTTTCTCGGTGTCTATGATCCACTGAACAGAAGGGCAGAAACCTACATTTAAGCCAAAGGGCTATCAGTCCTTTTCTAGATATGTTTCTAGAGTCGGCCAACAATTTTTTTACTACAGACCCAAAATACATTTCTATAGAGTGCACAAAAAGAAGCAGGTGACAAAAGGTGCATTTATGCGTGTGTTAAACTCAAGATGTCATAGCAAGATTATGTGGATGGATGGATGGATGGATGGATGGATGGATGGATGGACGGACGGATAGTGTTCTGTGCCCTTAGCAAGCATTAGAATACAATCAAGTACTTTTTATTAACAACTGCAATTATGCAAAACTTCACTGCACTCCTAGTAGCAGAGAAATCAGCAATGAGTAAGAAGAGGAGGTATGAGCTTTGCATGCCAAGCACAGCAGAGGAGATGGTAAAAATAAAAAAAAACATCACTTACTAATTCAACTGCAGAGATGCAAAGAGAGATGCAGAAACATTCTGTATAAGGGATGTTATTATATCTCCTCTTAGTCAGAATCAAAGGTAAAGCATTGATCTTTACTACTGTGACTGTTCTTCTGTTGTAGCAGAAGTGATTCTCCAGAGATCATTGGGGAATGTAAAAAGAATATGAAAGACATTCTTGTGTTAGAGAATTTTGCATCTGTAACTATCTTTAAGTCCAGGGTAAAGTTTCTTGTTTGTTCTGGGTGATGGTGATGGAGCAGAAAAGCTGGAAGAGGACAAATCATTGGGTGAGCTAATGATTCATTCCTAGATGTGGCAGATTCTCATTTGAGCTTCTCTAAAAAGACATCTGAGTCCTCCCTGAAGCTGACTCAGGTGGAGCGGGAAACCTTCAATAAGGTTTTGATAAATCTGGATTCAGTCGTTTCAAAATCTAAATAATCAAAATATGTACAGAACAAAGGCACCAACCAATGGCAGATTCAACACCTTAATGTCAAAAGCTTCAAAGGCCGTAGGAAACAATATGATATCATTGAGGCTGGCCAACCTACTGAATGCAACTGGTGGCTTTCTGAGCTCCAGCTGTGACCTCTTGCATTTGTTCTAACCAGAAACTGGATGGCCAGAAAGAGAAACGTCTTTACTTTGTTGAATGTCACAGCTTTCTAACACAGGTTTGCAATACCATCCCCTCAGTTTGGCAGTGTTCAGCCACTGTTTGATATTTACAAAGGGACCCAGCTTGGCTAAGGGGAAGAAAAGCTGGGTCAACAGCAGAAAGAGTATATAAATCA